TACCAAAGATCATCCCATACGGGATAACGGGAATCAAAATAGAACGTCCCACGGACATATTCTTTGTGTTTGTTGGGAATAAGTTCTTTTTCTGCTAATAAAAAATATGCTATCGTTCTTAACAGATACCTACAAAGCGTCTTTAGAAATTGCTTGACAAGGCTTAATTAATACATTTTTTTACACATTCTCAATTGTTTCACTGTCTTTAATCGCAGTGTCTTTGAAAAAGTTTAATAAAATCAGTTAATCATTCTAGTGAATTCGTTCTTTATTTTGAGTTAAGAGCAATCTTTATCAATCTATGCAAGACTTGGGCCATTTGAACATTTCTGTAAACTAACGTGTTATTTTCAGGAAAAATTCGAGACAGTACCAACAGCTACCCCATCTGTCTGCACTCTCAAACATTCTTAATCATGCTCTGTGTGGTGGCTTGGAGCATTGAGTACTGCATTTTGTACTGTCGAACCAGAACAGGGGAATCAGAAAAATCGGATACTGATACCACCAACACATGACAAACGGATATCGACTAAAATACGCCAGTCGATACGATATCGATCCAATCGATTTGATGGGATCGATGTCGCTATCGACTGAGCATAATAGTCGATATGGAATTCATTGACTAATGTGTTTTTTAAGGCTATACATTTCCGTCGAAAGCAATTTTTTTAAATTATTTTGATTTTTCATTCTTTGTACATTTTTTAAGGTATTTTAAACGGCGGGCAAAATTGTGTAGCCTGTAAACTTAAATAGTTCATCAAATATAAGCTGGCGATTCTGCTTTGAAAAACTATAATAAATTGTATTATTTTTTTTTAACTGAGAATCGGCAGCTTATACCGATTAACAAAGAGCAATTTGATTTACAATAATATTGCGTTTTTATTAAAGTTTTCAAGGATTTACTACATTAATTGAGCACTTCTCCTTTTATATGTTTCACAGGAGAAGCCCTATGATTATTTTTTTTGCCTTTATTACGTATCACTGAAAGCTTTTGCATGCAGGTTGTTACATCAGATGATTTGGATTAATACATGATTTTAAAGAATTTTTCTAGCGTAAGTTTAACCAAGGTCGAGATGGTACTTAAGCTCAAGAACGGATTAAAAAACGTCATTGGTGGCAATTCTCGCCCTTGAGGCTCGATTCGTAACTAAGCATGATTTATAAATACGGGCCTTACTATTTATTTAAGTTGCTTTCACAAATCAGTTTATGATAACTAATCAAATAGACGCTCTAGGCGTCCCAAATATTGGAAATTAAGGGCGCAATCCTTACTGGTCCTAATACTTTAATATGGTTAGATCATCTCTATTTTCACGATATTCTGTACCTATTATTTCGTGTTCCAAAGTTTCGCTAGTTATATAAATTTTCACATACCTACATCAAAATATAGTTTAATTTATAGTATGTGTTATAGAAGATGTTTAGAAATAAATGGTTTTAAATTAAATTCGCAGGTAATACGTTAATGTGGATGAGAAACTATTGTCTAAAGGTGAAGTACAGTTAGTAAGGAAACGATGCTTCATTTCGGCTGCAGCGATTTTTGCCGAATTCTCCCTAACTAAACTAGAATAAAACATCGTCCAGCAATTATTATGTGTAACTAGTGGCAAATTTGATGTTTTCAGAAAGAAACAGATTAAAATGGAGTATAAAATAAGTCAAAACTTGTTTTTCGATCTACCAAATTTTGACATATTTTATGTAAGTCGCGCGTGATATAACGGTTCAAATACTAAAGACTGAATCCGAGAAACAGTATTTCTCTAAATGAAAATATATCCTACTTATAAGAAATCATTTTAACATGTTTTTAAATAATTGCCTACGATTTACTGTAAATTCAATTATGAAAATATCCCGATAATCCTGATTTTTTGTAAATACTGATTATATTTTCCAATCTTGAAATTTTTGGTTTTTATATGAATGGATTGATGCTAAAATTTAAGACGCATTGGAAAATGTATTATATGAGTCGAAGATGATGTTTCGACTTATGTTTTTTGTACACAATTGTTCACTAAGCTCTAATAGACATTGTGAACTTCACCTTCGACCAATATCTGCATGAATATTTGTGAATTGAATGTAATTAACATTATAATAAAGAATTTTATATGTAATCAAATGTGTTTTATATTTTATTTTTAACGATGCCGAAACGAATTCTGTGGCTCAAAAGGTTCTTGAGAAACTTCTAAAATAACATTGTCATATTTGAGCTGTTTTCGCAACTTTAAAAAATACACGCAAATCTAAAACTCCCCAAATCAACACTTTTTTGAGAAAACTGCCAACATTTCCATATCAGTGATTCCGTTTCTAAAAATGTCATTTAGTTCTCTCTGGAACGCTGTAAAACTGAGCGTTCTGGCTCATTTCGCTTCCGAGAAATGAGCAAAAACGGGACGCAAAACATGAAATTTTGGCATAATGTTGCACCGAAAAGTCTTATTTTCAAATTTAGCTTTCGGAATCGAAACTACTCGAATTTCCTCACTCATGTTGTTATGACTGCATCGAATTTTCAATTATTTAACCAACAATACCAAAACGAATACTGTGGCTTAAATAGTTCTTCAGAAACATCGAAAAAAGCATCGTCATGTTTGAATCGTTCAAATCTAAAACTCCTGAAATCAAGACCTTTTTGAGAAAACTGCCAACATTTCCATTTCAGTGGTTCCCTTTCTAAAAAGGCCATTTAGTTCTCTCTGGGGGTGTAGGGGTTGTGTTATAGAGGTACCCACATAGCAAAATGATATTCCCAGAATATACCTGGAACATTCATGTGATGTACATGTATATTCGTGGGACATACATGAGCTCCATTATGAACATTCCATGTATGTCCCAGGAATCTGTCAGAGTTAATACACTGAATGTTCATGGTATGTTCTGGGAATGTACATGGTATGTTCAGTGAATGTACATGTGTATGTTCTGGGAATGTACATGGTATGTTCAGTGAATGTACATGTGTATGTTCTGGGAATGTACCTGGTATGTTCAGCGAATATACATGCGTATTTTCTGGGAATGTACATGGTATGTTCAGTGAATGTACATGTGTATGTTCAGTGAATGAATATGGTATGTTCAGGGAATATACATACATATATGTAACGAAAGAAAAACGATCCTTTATTTCATCTTATTAGTTTATTCACATATTTAAGTATTTACTGATGTAATTTTTCAACAAGAATTACTTACAACTAATCTAAAACTAATTAAATGGATAATAAATAAATTAAAATATAACTTATAACTACGGACTAAAAATCTAAACTAACATTTTCAGTATTTTTGCCGTTGTCGCAATGATGTGTGACTGTGAGATAAAACACAAACCTTTATCTAAAAAACTGCACACAAAGTGTTTTGCAATATGCTCTTAAGAAGAATTCTATAAGCAATTACAAATTTTAATATTGGTCACAACAACAAAATACAGTTAACAGTTTTACATTGAGATCTTTTCTCTCTGTATCTCTGTGATCTCTCATCTTTTGAGAACCATTATTTTTTTCCAAATAAATAACTAGGATAAGAAGAAACAATGCAAATAATTTGAGAGCACGTACTATTTTTGAATTTAAGTCTAAACATAAATAAAATGGTATTTTATGTATCTAAGGCAAGAAGTAAGCTGTAATATACTAATTTATTTCTTTCTCAATAAGGAAAAGAATTAAATAACGCTGACTTACTCAAGTTAGAAGTAAAAAATCATTTACTTGTACGTGCCCTTACTTTTCTGCTGCAGGCACGCAAAATTTATATTCAACCAATTTGGAATATACCGTAGATATACATTCATGTATATTACCAGAATATTTGTTTTGAACATACTAGGTATATTCACCTGCACATATACACAATATGTACATACCTGGCATGTTCATCTGCACATATAGCCAATATGTACATTTATGTACATACCTAGGATATACTTTTTATGAACTTTGATGAATATACATGCATGTATATTCGACGAACATTCATGTTAGGAATGTTCAACCATGTGTATTCCCAGGATATTCCCGCAATGTTCTGTATATTTTTTGAACATTCTGTTGTCAGTAATGGAGTGCACCAGAAGAAGAAGAAGTTCTTTCTGGAACGCTGTAAAAATGAGCGTTCTCGTTCATTTTGCTTCTGAGCAATGAGCAAAAACGGGACTGAAAACATTAAATTTTGGTCTAATCTTGCACCTAAATGTCTGATATTTAACTTTCGCTTTCTGGGTGGAAACTACTATGTCTTCACTCATTGTTATGAGTCTCTAACCAACGAGGCGAAAACGAATTCTGTGGCTCAAATAGTTCTTGAGAAACTTCGAAAAAAGCAGCTGTGTCGGTGAAAGCTAAGACTCGGTTCAACAAAAAACTATTTCAATTTTTAAAGGTAATTTAATCAGTGGTCTATTAAAAAACAATACACTAACGTTTAAGAAAAAAATTAGCCAAAAACCTTGAACAATCAGCACTGCTTTTGGTGTCCAACAATTCAAAATGCACATATTTTGAACTGTTGACTTTTATTTAAAAACAATCTAATATAAATATTTAAAAATACAATTTTTCTTAGACTAAATTCCTTACACCTAATCATTAACAGTAAACAAGAATACCAAATTTTGGAAGAAACTCCATACCAACTCGCAGTGGAGGATCTATAAAGATTAAACGTTGCATAACCAGCTAATACAGAACATTTAATACGTCAATAAAATAACGTGCAATAAAACACAATTCAGCTAACTATGCGTATATGTATCTGGCCGACGGACCAACTGGAACTCCAGCAGAAAAATGTCATATCAAGCTTCATTTTGATTTATTCGGTTTCTGGGAATTTTATCCATAAATCCAGTCAAGGCCAGCTTGCTCTAAAAGTGTTACTGGCAAAAAGTCCTAAACTATCACAGCCCAACCGTACACGGCGACAACTAAACGACATATTTTAGGACTCTCTTCGGTTCCAACAAGGTATTCTATCTTTTATTCAATTTCAACCACAGTGTTAGATAAGTAGCCGTATGCATCAGACACCAGATAAACAGCACCATGGATATATTCGACACAAGATCGATATTAACAATATCCATTTCCTTTAAGAATTTCGAAGGATCAGCGTAGTGGCAGTAGAGTTCCTCTTCAGGACAGTAGAGATCTTTCCTGTTGAATCCATAGACTGATACCACAACTCCATGGAAAGCCGCTCGGAAGTAGCTAACTGTGAACAACCATTGAAAGACGGCTGGAGTATCGGAGCGTTTCAAGCAGAAGCCAAAAATAGAGAAACAGCACGCCAGCACTGGGCCGATAAAAACGGCAATCTGGAAATTAAATTTTTGTTTATGTAAAATGTCTGATTTTCACTTAAAAATGCCTGCTATTTATAAGATTCATTGTTCGGGTTTTCAGAAGGCAGTAAAAAATATGTTTTATTAACTCTCTACATCATAAAAAACCTTAGTATCGAAAAGTATTCCTTGAATTTATGGATCTTCAAACAGGCTTCACAATGATCCACGAATTTAAATTGTAGCTAATAAAAGTTTCTGACAGAGAGAAATGGGAGAGGAGAAGAACTGAAATCACGAGAATTCAAGTAAAGGCAGCCGTTGAGATCATGGTTCAAAGCAAAGGAAAGTTCTGAGCTCTGTATTTTTTATATCATTTCTGAGTGAGTGATAAGATATATTTTTTAAATGCTTTCTTGATCTGTTGTAAAAAATTTATTGCTTCCGAGCTTTCTCACATTCTTACCTTTGTACTGGTGGTAGCTCCGATGAAGTAGCCCATCGATTGTGCGCATAATGTTCCAATGGTGACAAAAAGAACAAAAAGATACGCCCGATAGTCCAAAGGTTGACTAGTCAGCCAGTAGGAAATCACTATATAAGTCCACGTGCAGAGAACCTGTAAACAAGAGATAAATAGAATTATTATTCAAAATAATATTGTTACAAATTGCTTGGACGAACTGTTCTTTGGCATTTAAGGAGTTGAAAATATTGGAAATTTTTGTCAGGCTCTTCTAAATTAATAAAAATAATAGAACACTTACCTGAAAAGGTATTTCAATTAATATCACAGACATGAGGTATGGAGACAGCTTGTACCATCGATTGAAGTGTTCTCTTGTAAGAATTTTCATCTCCAGAGGAACTAAAAATAAAAAAATATAAAATGAATCAGCCTTTTGTTTCATCGAAAGTTCCAAGTATATTAGGTAATAACTAATTAATAAAAAAAAATAATTTTCTTCAATCCTCCGCTATGACCTCAATAGAATTATTGTTAAACGATGCGCCAATCTTCGCGAGTCAATATTCACTTAACCTTTTTACTGTTTAGACGATATAAATTCTGAGTTCATTGTTTCTATTTGCTTGATAATTAATGATGGCGTAATTAGTTCTTCGTATCTCAATTAAAATTATCTGGTGAAAATTCGTCAGTGGCCCGGTAGTTTAAAGTTCACCATTTGCGAAAGCAACTGATATAGTCAGATGAATTAATCATGGAATTTGTTTCATTCGGCTTATTCATTTTATCAAATAGAATTATTAAAGCACGTACATATATGGATTTTTTTAATAATCAGAGAATGTGCACTCTAACACTGAGTTCAGTTTTTTTCAGTGTTTTCAGAACTTTTTCAATAACTTTTGATGCATTGATTTTTTCCTTTTCTCTTGTTTTATACCGTAATAAGTAGATTCTCAACGAACAATTTAATTTTTATGGTAAGGTTATCATCATCGCAAAAATAAAAAACCACACTTGCACAATCGCAACTCATCATCTCGCTTTTTACAAGGATTTAAAGTCGATAAACCCATAAATACCATTTAAAGTTAACTAACTTGGTGTTAACTGTACAAAAGCTGAAAAAACCTTTACGCCATCAGTGTTCAATTCTGTTGGGTAACGAGCAGGAAAAATGCAACAATAAAAGGACACTCTAAATAATTACGAATTTTCATTCAATTTAAGGTATTCAATTCAATTTTCATAGTATTTTCCACTTACATGATAAGGTAACCGACATTTTCCCAGTATAAACGTTGAGTAACATGGTGCCATAGAGGTACACATAATTGGCTAGAATTTGATTGGCGTTTGCTCCCACTCCTCGGTATAAATAGCCGAAAATGAAACCTATCACAATATGAGCTAGAAGTCGATTCAATGGATACAACTGAAATAAAAATATCCATCTTCACCTCTCGATTAAAAATTATTTCAAATTCACTTACCCAATTTCTCCTAGTCTGCAAAAGGTTCCGTTTATATAGAAGGAAAAACTGCATTATCACTGGCGCAGGAGAGATTGAAGGCGTGTCACTGTTAAGGATCATTGGTACGTCTTTCAGAGGCAAGTCTTTGTCTGGAAATGTTTCTTAATAAGTAGATACAAACATTCAAAAGTTAAAGCTCAAGACGTCCTACCTTTGGTCGGATTGGTTCGTTCTATGAGTTGTTGCTGTTGCACTGCTGCAGCCAATTGGTTCAAATCAACTCCATGGTCTCCCATTGCTACCTCCATGACTGCAAAAGCAACATTAGACAAAGAACAAGGTGATTGAAAATTAATTTCTTACGAAAATCTGCTGGGTTATGGTAGGGAGGGCACTTCACATTGAAGTTATTGAAATAAGGAACCAACTGAGTGCTTGGCCCGTCGTAAATACATTTTCCTGCTGAGAGAGCATACAGCTTGTCAAACATTTCAAACAGCAAAGCTGAAAAGACAGAAAATGAAATAGTTATTTTAAATAAAATTAAATTTGCTCAATTGCTTAATTCAAACCTTACGATTCACTTACCCGATGGCTGATGAATCGTGCATACGATAGTGCGGCCTTCCTGAGCTAATCGCTTGAAGAGGTAAAGGCATTGACTGCAAGATGAACTATCCAAGCCACTGAAAGAAAAATGATCTATGAAAGTATTCAGAGAATTCATTACACGGTTGGCAAGTTAGTAAATGTAATAAATTAAATTTGGACAAAATGCATTTTGCTTAGATGTATTTTTTGCTACTGAAAAAAACCAAGAAATATGAGAGTCGCTTCATCTAAATAAAAAAAATATATTTAAACGCGTTGAAAATTATTAGGAAAGAATGAAAGCAGTATTTGAGATTCCTATGGAAACATCAATTTTTGCCAAGTATCAATTAAGGAACAATTAGAACAACAAATAAAATGTAATATTTGACCTTAATACGTTAATATTTTTAAGTTAAGTTTTTTTTTATTGTTAACTGGCCTGTATTGAAAGAAAACCCAAATTTCGAAACTTGATTTAGCAATATTTCGCGATATTGAGCAATAAGATAGTCGAGCGAGGGATGCGATATGAGAGTTTTTTTAGCAGAAAATAATTAGATTTTCGCATTTTACTGGGAATTGACGAGCCGGAATATAAAGCAATAATTAACCTCAAATTTGTCTGAAGAAGAGATAATTTTTGTCTGAATGAAATGAAATTAAATATGAAAAAGATAATATTTGTCTGAAGAAAAACCGGCAACACTAATAGAATATTAAAAATTGAGTAAATGAGCTTTCAATTTTTTACCGCACAATTAATAAATTTGCTAAAATGCTAACAAGATTGTAAAGTTTTCGCAGTCGTTATTTACCCGTTATAACAATTGCTATAATCGTAAAATTTCATTAACTTAAGTTTCAGCAGTTATGAGCAAAACGTGCTAAAACAATGATTCGTTATTTGAAGCTAATCAAGATCAATCAGCTAATACTTTACGAAAAAAATTGACATGAGTCGTGCCGAATCAGTCTATGGAGGTTTTAATTGTTATTGCATTTTGTCCACACTACATTATTTTTTAATTTTTATAGCAAAATAATTAGAATTATTTTGCGATTATGCAATACGAGATAAGAGTGATCTTCGATTAAGAAAACAATCAGAACAGCAGATGAGCAAACAATATAAATCAACAAAGAAGAAATATAAAATAAAGGAAAACAATAAATGCAATAAACATTCATCATTCTAGATCAATTATTCTTGAAATTCGTATTTAGCATTCTAAAAGTAGTCAATTTGCCTAACGGTTGGTCTGATAAACTCACGAAAGCACCTATAAAGCTAATTTCAACATAAATGATCATTTATATTTATACTGAAAACTCGTTTAAAAATACCTATCACCGAATGAAATTAAAATCGTTCAATCATTCCAACGCTATTTATGGTACCTTGCTGAAGTACAAGTTTAAAGTAAATCACCGACTTAGAATGGCCTAAGAAAAATAATGCAATGGATCGAGGTCTGGTTAATGTGGAGGCCAACATCTAGAATCGTCCGTCTCCCACCCAATAGAAGATTAGAATAGAATGTATTGCAATTTTTAAAATATCACTCATTTAAACTTTTTTTTCAAATATTTTAGTTCCACGTAGTTTATTTTGTCTCAGTAAGCACGATGATGCGTTTTCATGAATCATTCACACAACTGTTTGTTTAACCGTCAATAGGCAAAGCTATTGTTTTATTTAAAAATCACATTTCCTGCTTATTAAGTATTTACGTACAATTTGGCCATCTAATTCGAACAATAGCGTTTCCAGTCAATTAACCATTGAAAATTCATTCGGATCTGAATGGAGTTTGGCCAACAAAACAACCAGAATCAAATTCATGCACGCAAAGAATTTTCTTGCTAACATAGTCAAGTTTTAATTACCTCTTAATAATCCCCGACGAAATCCTCATTAAAAAATATGTTTTACATAATTAACATTCGCACATTGTGCCATTAGGGTCATTTGCCGATATTTGATAGTCATTTCACAACACATTTTGTGGCATGTGTTGACCCTGACATTACTATTTATCTGCTATGGTTTGAAAAAATGGATAGCTTTATTTCAGGCCTCATAAATTCACGTGGATTTACAAATAATTGTTCACGTTTGAATTGTGGTTTGATGGTACAAGCCTGATGAAGAGTAAACTGTCTGATGAAAATAAAAATTCAAGAGTAAAGGCAGAAAGCAACGAATACGGGCATCAAATAACATTGAATTAGCTTTGAATATTTAAGGTTTAATCAGGGCTCAGGCTAGAGAATAGTAAAAAACTAACTTTCCGTTTTTTTTTGTATTTTTAGCATACCAATGTACTGTTACTTACGTTGTTGGTTCATCCAAGAACAAAATAGGCGGGTTACTTAACAGCTCGAGTGCAACGGCCAACCTCTTGCGCTGGCCTCCGGATAGTCGAGAAGTGAGAGTGTGATGACTTTGATCTAGACCCAATAGCCCTAATATTTCCACGACCTGAAAGCAAACAGTTCACATTGGCGATTCATATAAAATATGCAAATAATTCCAAATAGATTAATCTTTTGTAGACTTGTCGGAAACATCAGCAGACAAAAATATTTTAGCATTTATTGCGGGAACTTCCACCATTAGCAAAGAACAACGCCAGACGTTTAAGTACTTATTTAATTAGGATGTCTATTGACTAATGCAATGTCGATAAATGAGATCTTTGAACTTGTTAGGACACATTGGAGTGGACAGCTGAGAGAACTCATTAATTCACCTAGTTTGGTCGAAAACAAAAAACCGATTAATGATGGTGGTCGTTGAAACATTCCAACTAGAAAAAAGAAAACTTGCACAGAAATGAATCTCGAAATGACGATGCTGCTTTATAGTTTTTTATTATTTCATGCATTCTTCCTAAGTGAAAATTTAATATGAAAACTGTTGTATTCTCAAATATGGGAAATAATCTGAGAAAAGGACTTTTACACGTGGAAGAAAGTGGATCAGGGGTGGCATTTTTCATTGTTGTTATATATTTTTTGAATCTCCTTGTATTAGTTATTTTCGTAAATTGTATAAGTGGACTGTTTGTTTGAAAATTTAATGACTAATTAAGTTCAATTTTTGCTTCCGTATTACGCCGTAGTTTCGTCTTGTTCCTAAACAAGCACCAAAGTTAATGGGAAAAGTGCAATTTTGAATTCATTCACACGTGATGGTTTCAGAAATTAGACCTGCACTAAATTCCCTAATTAACTGGGACTAATTAAGAAAAACTATGATGGTGCAATTTAAAAAACACGCAAATTGCAAATTAAATAATCGTCAGAAGTTTGAATTACATAGACATGTTTTGAATGTAAGCCGTAAAAGCGCTAAACGAGTGCGTTTGCCAACAATACATTTTTGAATTATAATCAAAATAAAAAGTCGTTAAAAATTCCGAATTTCCTTACTTCCATAGTATTTTTTTACGTGGAACAGTATCAACAAGAAGAAAGGGTATCGATCTGTAGCCCATTCGCCCTTTACTTATTTTCTTAAATGTAGAAGCCAATACTTTTTATGTGTTGTCAAATAATTCCCACTTTCCGGATCGTTTTTTTTATTTCAATTTCAAGTAGAGTTCATGAAATTAAAGTCACTAAATCAACAAACAATTGCTTGTAGCAAATTGAACTTTTCGGCTTTATCGACTATATACTTGCTGAAACAAGACTTATAAGAATATTGAAGTTAATAAAATAGTGAAAAGGAAACTCAAATGGGAGTGTGTGTTGATCATCTAAAAAAGTCAGTTCGAATTAATCAACGAAACGTTTAAATTATACACCTGTATATCAGCGGACTCAAGAAGAAATTCATGCTTAACTGTCCAAGTAAGCAGATACAATAGACTATGTCTGGAAATAATTATGTAAATTTGGCAAACAAAACTAGCTAAACATCATAAGAACTTTCCAGATAAAACCGACACAAAAATGTTGATGAAGATGAATTTAAGTTTACGTTCTTCTGCTCGAAAAAACCGAAGAAAAGAACCAATGTGAAAACTTTAAAAAATGAATATCCATTAAATATTCAAATCAGAAGGCATGAGGTTATAACGTCCTATACTTTTTTTCTCTCTCGGCTGCCCCATATTGCTCGCAGCATTTAAAGTTTGAACATTTTTTTGTCCAAAAATAGGTCTATGATTCGATAAAAAGTTATTCAAATCGGATCACGGATTGAGAAAATATTCACAGTTAAAGCACAGCTTATATATATGATATTTAAGCTGTGGTTAAAGTTTCATTCACAGTCAAAGTCCTTTAGGCAAAGCTTATTTACGTACAATAGAAGATTTTGCTTTTCTTCAGGTATTTTTTATAAAAATAGGTAGTGAATATATGAATGCGAGGGTTTCTTCAAGCAACCTACATATATAGTTAAAAGTCTGGCTCTAAAATTGCTCCATCGGAAAATAGCAAAATGAGTGCGACCTGCTATAAATAAGAAAATAATTACATCACTAATTGATATTTCAATGCCAACATATAATAACCGACTAAATGATTAATCGGTTTCGAACTAAATGTTTTTTGCAATAGTGCAAAATAAAATAATTATACAGGAACTGGGAATCTTCACAATTATCTAACTGTAAAACTTTAAAATAGAAATAAGCCTACAAATTAAATCTAAATTGCTTTCCTTAACTAGTCTAGCAAAGTGCATCTTCTCGTGCTGTTGAATTTTTAAAATATTGAAAAAATTCTAAAATTTTGCTAAAGCTTTCGCCTATAGACTACCACAATGTTATGACATGATCGTAATGAGTACATAAAATGGTAAACAATGATATGGAGTTTATCATCGCTCAGACTTGCCTAAACCACTGACCCACTTGGATAATTGGGTTGAAGAAAAAAGATAAACAACCGACATTGACCTTTATTTGTTACGCACGCCTGACGTATTTGCAGTAGATTTTCTATCTTCCATGCGGTTTAGTATGCATTTTAAAATGCGAAAAAGATGAGCGAATCAAGGTTTGCGTCATCAATCATCAATCAGCGTTGGTTCAAGGCTTATTTTGAATGATTTTTGCTGTACCAGGAAGCGAAAACTGGAGCAGAGCATTGATGTTGATAAGTGCAGATTTCATATAAATTGGGGTACTTGAAGTTGTTCAAAATGCAATAGATGCAACAAACATGACACGTTTTTTTTAGTAAAATAATTGCCGACTTGAGTAACAATTAAGCTGATAAAATCCTCCAATATTCACTGTACATTACACTGAATTTAAGTCTGAGTAACTAGATATTATCATTTTCAAATTAAGAGTTCAGAAAATATAATTCAGTAAAAGTAAATAAATCCAAAATCAAGCGAAATAGAAACAAAAGTTAAAGGAATACTGACCCACTTTTGCATAAACGTTAAGCATTTTCAAAACCCATATTTTAAGAACATTATGCCAAAAACTAATGGGGTTTTCCGGTTTTTGGGCCGTCGTTTGGTAGAATTTCTGCCTGACGTTTCGCAAGCACGAAGTTTATTGGAACAGTGTAAGCGTTCAAGCAAACCACTCCTGAAGATGCAAGCCATTCGTGCTTGCGAAACGTCAGGAAGAAATTCTACCGAACGACGGCCTAAAAACCCGAAAAACCCATTAGTTTCAAGGAATGGCCTCGAAAGTCAGTATCAGTTATAATTTTTGACAAAAACAAATTTTTAGATGCGCCAACTGTAATAAATTTTCGTATAGAAATATGCTTTGTTCAAATCTACAGCAGCCAAAGTCGCTTTAAAAGTATGTGCGAAAAATCACCCAAATCTCATTTTAGGTATTCTGTGATTCACTCGGAACCACCGTACATATTTTAAACCCTTTTTTGTGTGTCAAATAATATTTGTATATGAATACATTTTTACAACTCTTGAATGAATATATAATTTAACTGTATATTCAAAATAAGTTTTTCTTCATCTAACTTTATTCCTTTGTATCAATCAAACTTCATCACTTGCTCTACATCACATTTCTTTCGAAGAAAGCCTGGATGCAAACTGTGGGTTTTTGAGATTCACAAGCCATTTGAAAGCTTTGCAATTTCCAATAACGATTTGTTTAGCAAACAAATAAATTCAGAAAAACAATTTTCTTCTAAATTACCTTTCTCGTGTGGTTTGAAAGTAATTGAGAGTCATGGAATATAAGACTCATGGCGCAAAGAGTATTGTCATCCAAAAAGTATCAACTGTCGAATTTCTTTGGCCTGATTGGCTTGCTAACTATTCCAGTTGGGAGAAGTGTGTTTGCACCATGGTGGCATTTTCAAAGTAAACATTTTCTAATGGAAAGCCAGACTAGAAACTCTTTTCCAAAATGACTGTTCGATCCTCACCTGTTGTTTCTTGTACTGATGAGAGACGGAGTAACCCAGTTTCAAATTGGCGGCGAAAATCATGGCCTCCATGACGGTCAATCCTAGGCGCAACTCTTCGTCTTGCGGAATGTAGGCCGATAGTTTTCTGAACCGTTGGCTTTGGTTTCGTGTTGTGCCGTTGAGTTTCACGGTTCCCGTACTTCCTCTTGTGCTGAAATAGCAATCAGAACTTTCACTGCAGGTTATGCACTTTGATTGTGTGATTGATCGTACACCATAATTTGCTTAACTACAATCACTGCTTGACATCGCACATTGCTTGACATCGATTGATGTGAACGAGCTTTTGGTCTTTGAACAGGCGCAAAAATGCAAAAATTATTAAAATTTATGATTAACTAGATAGAAATGGAAATATTTATTTACTGAAAGGAAAGAAGTGTAAAACCTGGTAAAACTAGTTGCTACATTTAGTAAAATAAAGGTTTTTTTCTTCTTAACTTTAGAGTCGCTTTATTGCAAAATTTTGTTTGCAGTTTGCAAGAATTTTGGTTACTTGTTAAGTGAAACTTGCATTCAAACGTGTTTTGCACGGTTTTAGTGCACACGTTTGCTTTAGGCAGGGTTACTGAATTTAACAATGCGCTTCTATGAAACTGAACATTTAAATTAAATCGCATTTAAAATTGAGGATTTTTTGCGCTTTTTTGACTTCGTCGAAAATAACTTTTCCCTGACGTTTCGTAAGCACGAGTGGCTTGCATCTTCAGAGGCGCTTCCTTCGCACATATAGTCTAGTGTAAGCTTGTCCATCAAGTAATATCAAGCCGCGAATCCATAACTTTCTCTTCATTGACTTGAACTAAATTAGAAAAAAACCTTCAATTTTAACACTCCAAACATAAATCACTTCAGAAATAAAAATCGTGGAAATGACAAAAAAATATTAAAAAGTAAGCAACAATGCTAATTATATTGCAGTAGTTTCATTGAACCGAAACCATCATTGGAACTTTTCTTTGCTAGCGTAAAATCACCAAGTGGAACATGTTTCAACGCTGTGCAAATCCAGTTATGGTGGAATTCATTCGAAAAGAAACTGCATTGATTTGATTATAAATACAATTTGTTGCTAAATAATGCTTACCGGATCATAATACACTTTCCATGACGGAAATTATTGGATTGTAAATATAGCTATTAAAATAAAAACCTGTTTGTGTAATAATAAAATTGTACGACTTTGTGCTAGGTTTTGTTGTAAATCATTGGTATTGCACGAGAACATTAATTGAGTATCGGTTGCTAAATTATAAATCAATTATACAATTTAATTAAAGATTGCCTGGCTTGAAATTAAATTGATTTGTTCATCACACTATTTCCCATAATGGATAGACAGTGTCATCAGATTGTTCTTTACTTACCGTATAAATTAAAATTGTATTAATAATGTGTATAATTAATTAATAAATAAAAATACTTTTTAATTTTATTAATTTGGATAAAATATTTGTTTTGCTTTTCTTTTTACAGTAATTTCTAGACTACCATATACCTTAATTTATCTCACTTGAACTTGAACATTGAARCTTGTGCGGAAATAAAAATTCGCAATGCTTTTATGCAAGTGTACAATTAGCACTGGAGCAACAAATAGTAATTTACTTGACTATTGCACTCCAATTACCATAACAAGTGTGCAAAGCATATAAATAGACCAGACAGTTTAATTAAAACAAGACGAATAAAACTGCAGCTTTATGCCAAGTGAATATCAATCTAAACTTTTGATGCAAACAATAAAACAAGCCGTTATGCTTACGTGAATCCTGCTAGAATGTTCAACAGAGTGCTTTTTCCTGCTCCTGATGGTCCCATTATTACCGACAGCTCCCCTGACTTGAATGTCCCCGAAATTCCATGAAGAATTTTTTTATTTTCTGGAAAAAATAAACAAAAACTGTTTATATTTTAATGATTACTAGAATTTTATTGATTAATTTGAAACTCGCGTTTTTAAAAACACTTTATTTCAGAATTAATACAATATTTTTATAATGTGGATTTGAAATGTGTGTGACCGAACCTAACCGTAGACTCACTATCTTTAACTTAGAGTAAACGACCTAACCAGAGGCTGTCTATGACTGTCTTTAAGTGAACTATCGTTTCTGCCGTGGCTACTTTTATACTTAAATCATGCTGATCATAGCAGAAACGATACTACGTCTTATTTTATATGTTTAGTCCGCGTAAGTGGCCATATAATTCTAGTTTCAGCCAATATTTCAACGGTTTTTTAATTGTTTGTTTTGTTTTTTGCCACTTTTGTTCGCTATMATTTTTTAACACTATTTGRAAAAACTCGGTTTCTTGCAACAACAGATYTCAATGCKKTKCSWCACA